ATCAGTCAGATAAGTTCTAATAAACTGTATCAAATCTACGCTAAAAGAATAAGGGTTCTATTTCCATAATAGGATATTGTGGTTGACTTTGTCAAAGGCCTTCTTACAATATTTGTGTCACATGTGTATATATCCTATTATATATTACCCGTTCATGTATTTTGGATTGGACTGGACAGGTTCATGGAAATATTCCATTTTTTGAGACTTTGCGTCCTCGATATCTCGAAAACTGTTCATTTCCAGACTTTGGGCCTATGAACACTTGATCAGGAGGGTGTCAAGTACAACATATCAAAAATTCAGACAAATCGACCGGGGACTCAAACCCATAAGGTTTGTGCGGGGTCCTTTATAAGGCAGAATCCCCAACTTCAGCTTCATGTTTCCTCCAACTAGTTTACAGCGGCTAAAATTGTCAACATCAATTTCCACCTATAAGATAAAAAGAAAACTGTAAAGCTAAATAAGAAACAAAAAACAAAAAAAAATAAGATGTAAACTTCAATAAAAAACATCAATAAATTACATTTTTAATTCAGTCATAGGTATTTTTACTATCTTATCATAATCATCTCGTACAAAGTAACAATCAAGATTATGCTGCATGAAAATTATTTCAGCACAAAATAACTAAAACAGTTCGACTCTAGTGAGCTATATATTATATTGTGGTAATCTACTCAAAAAGTTCAAGGTAGAAATAAATTTTAAACTAATAAACATTGTAGTAAAACGTCTAATAATTAATATAAAATGCATAAATATTAATACTTTAGTACTTACATCAAAATGATCTAAATCTGTGCAACAATGTTGCACAGATTTAGAAGAAAGGGGCACCTTATCATCTTGCCTTATTATTTGACACCATTTTTTTCGCAATTTTTCTTATCTCGGCATCTCGAAAAAATATTTGTCAGGTGTTTTTATGGTCGTGTTAGTACATCTAGGTATTATACAATGCAGTATTTGTAGTTATTTGGTTTAACTTTAGGCATAGCTTTTTTCTTTAATTTTTATCATATAATCAATACCAAGAACCGAGGTACCGATTGCTGCTAAGCACAATGTAAAAATGTAAACTGGACACTGGACGGTACCTATGAATGCATTCCTGCACTGATCGCTTCCTAGCTTGTGGCGTCACGTTACGCCACAGAGGTTTGCACGGTGCAAACAGGAATCCTAACCTTTGAAATTCTATAAAGATAATTAGAAAAAAATAGCACTAATAATTTTATAATTTTTGAGACTATTTGTATAATGAAAATGAAAATACTGGAAACCTAATCTTTTTTAGTTCTGTGTAAAATTAATTTATGATTAGGCAACTTTGTAGGTTATGTTTTTTATGACGGGTTGAAGTGTACTAGAAACTAGAATAATAGACTAGGCTTAGGTCCGAATTATGCATTATGCCCAAAATGCGTCAAATTGTGGATCCAAATTGAACATCGCGTGCTCAAATGACGGCAACTTCAAGACCGAGGTGAAGGCTACTATTTTGATGCATTATATGTGTATAGGCTTGCCAGGTCTCCGGGTTTGACCCGGAGTCTTCGGGTTTTGATGGTACATCTCCGGGCTCCGGGTTAATATGTCATTTCTCCGGGTTAAGACGTCGTACCCCCGAAATTTCCTGATTCTTTTGTCCATTGAGCTGCTGTAGACCTTTTTTTTTTTTTAGAGATCGATTTCCTCGTAAACGATTTGACTTCAAAATTTCCTAAAGACCTTTTTTTTTTTAGAGATCGATTTCCTCGTAAATGATTTGACTTCAAAATTTCCTAAAGACCTTTTTTTTTTGGACATCAATTTCTCCGGGTCTGTCATGAAATAGATCTGGCAACCCTGTATGTGTACGAAAAATAGATAATGCAGTTGATGCATGTCATATGTCAAATGTCACAGCACAGTCAAAACTTTGTAGTTTTAATAATTTGTAAAGGTTTAAAAAAGTAATAATTGTTAGGACATATAAACGCACCTATATTTACTCATAAAAATGAGTAAAAGCGTTCAAATATATGCACAATAAGATAATGAGGAAATATAATATCTAATACCTGTTTCGGAAGAAGAGGCACAAAACAGGGTTCGTAGCAGCCTGGAAAACCCTGCATACCGGGAAAAGTCAGGGAATACATTATTCTTCATAAAAAACAGGGAATAGTCAGGGAATTTTAGAAGTATTCATAAAAGTCGGAATCTGACGTTTGCTACCGGAAATTTTGTGAAAGCAAGCCTTGAGTTCTTCAAAGAGAAAACTGTTTGTGGTTTTGAAACCTTTATAAAAGGTTCTTTAGGTATAAAAAAGATTATGGGATCCAGTTTAGAAAAAGCATATTACATACACACATTAGGGTGGCCCAAAAAAAAACGAATATATTTTTTTCGTGTCTTGTGATAATATGTTAGTTTATCATGTTTTAAGAGCCCCCTCAAAAAATCAGCTTAAAAATTTTTTTTAAAGGCTGCTCAATATTTTTAAAAACCAAAATCGTCAAAAATTGAATTTTTTTTTAATTTTTTTTCATTTTCATTTTCTAGGTTGAGAAAAATCTCGATTCTGAAAATTTCAAATCAATATTTTAATTTCTAAAGGTCACTCATAATTATTTTAACTTTCAAAGTAGTGTACCTATATTTTCGAGCGACCTCTAAAAATAAATATCAATGAACTAATAATTTTTTTTATTGAATTTGATGAACAAAAAAATAGAAATTAATCACGAGACACTTAAATTTTAAAAAATTATAAATATTTGATATTTACAGTGCAGTAGTAAATTTTGCCTCGAGAAATTTAAGTGTCTCGTGATTTATTTCTATTCTTTTGTTCATCAAATTCAATAAAAAAAATTATTAGTTTGTTGATATTTATTTTTAGAGGTCGCTCGAAAACATTTTAGGTACACTACTTTTAAAGTTAAAATAATTAGGAGTGACCTTTAGAAATTAAAATATCGATTTGAAATTTTCAGAATGGAGATTTTTTTCAACCTAGAAAATGATAAAATAACGAGAAAAAAATAAAAAAAAAATCTATTTTTGACGAGTTTGGAAATTTTTAAAAATCTTGAGGTACCTCCAAAAAATTTTTTTATGAGCTGATTTTTTGAGGAGGCTCTTAAAATATAATAAACTAACATATTTTCAGAAGAGACACGAAAAAAAATATTCGTTTTTTTTTGGGACACCCTAATAAACATCAATTATTAGTATGTAAAAATTAACTACAACTGATCTGGATTTTTTTTGTATGTCGGGGAAAACCTGAAAAAGTCAGGGAATTCTATATTACTTTTGAACTATGAACCCTGCAAAAGATTGTTACAAGTAAGTTTCAAAATTAAAAGTTACATGAGATAATGATTTGTGTTTGATATTGCCTGTTAAGATAATATTTAGATGGACCTCTTATTCTATTTTGGTTACGATTCAATATTGCATTGCGCTCTAAATGAACATTGGGTAATGGATCAATTAAATCATTTCTATTCAAACAAATGTTATGTAGCACACAACATGCCAATATAAATTCAGGAAGATAATGAATATCTGTCATAAGGAGATAATCTAAAAGTCTTCTAAATCTACTCTTCAATACAACAAATGCCCTTTCAATTGCCTTTCTTGCAAAAGAATGTCAAAAGTTATAATTTTTCTGTCTTGCAGTCAAATGACCACTGTCTTTATAAGGAGTTAATAAATGAGTTTGTAAGCAGCATCACCAAGAATGTGCGAGTTATTTGGAAAAAACTTCCCCATTTTTTAAATACCTTGCTAGTGGCGACGTCATAAAAACTCTGAACTCTGTTGTCATGAACACTACTGACATTGCCAGCAAACATGATGTAAATAAATATCCGCGGTTACAAACAGCCTGTAAAAAGTTTAAGTATTAATTTCATATAGTGTATCAAGTGTATTGTTATACCTGTAAGTGTACTGAATGTACACCTTTTCGGTTTACATATGATTGATGGTCATCTTTTGGTGTCTATCTATAAGAATCAGTGTTATAAGCAATTGCTTCTCTGGTGGAATGGGCTTTTGCCCAGATACATAAGATGTAGATATTTGTCCCTTTATTTGTTCCAACACATAAGTAAATGTTTCGGGATACATCCTAAGACCATAACCATTACATTATGTAATTTTAAGTATTTTTCATTATTTCTTATTTTATCTTATTGGTAAAACCTTACCAATTTATTGCATATTAATGCATTGCAAAAGTCTTAAATTACAAAATGAAGTATTATACAAGGAAGGGATGGGGAAAGCACAAAACTTGACCTAATCATGGCACAAAATATTCTGGAAACCGGAAGGTTATGGTTACTCACCTAAGGTGTGATTTAAATTCTTCTGAGGAAAATCTTGGGACTATATTTTCCACATATCCTTCTATTTTAGGTCTTAATTTTACTGAACCCTTTACGTTCTTTTTGGCTTTAACAATAATCATTTCTTCAGTAACCGACCCCATTAAATCATCGGAGTCATCGCCGCTTGAAGTTGAAATAAAATTCTCTTCAGTTTTACAGTTAGTTTGATTTTAAATGAAGAAAGTCATACCTGCCATAAAAGGCTTTCGTGGTAGAAACATTTAAACAGTTTTGAAATAACCTGTACAACACAACATTTAAAAATGTCACCAGAAATGTGAAATGTAGGACCATGAACTCATTTATTGGTCTGAATTGTTGGTACTTATTGTACACGTTTTTAATTCGGACCGGTCAAATTTGGTTCCATAGGTAACGCGCATAATGCGTAATTCGGACTTTAGCCCTAGTTTATAAGGTCTATGGCTATAATTTCCAATTACAGTTTACTCGGTTAAAGAAATTAAAACAACTTTTATTCAAAAATATAAAATAAATTTAATATATAGCTTGAAACTAATTTGAATTTAATAATTTACTAGGATAAATCGTGTTTTGTTTTTTGTTGGTAAAATTAAATTTTTTTTCTCTATTTTCCTCCAGCTTGTGAATTACTAGCATCGGATAACATGGATATGGATAATCCAGATGCAAAGTATTTCTATGATTTGGGTCAATCTGTTAATCCACAAAATCTGGCTGTATTTAGTTTGCTGGTGCGGATGATAATTACAAAAAATGACGATCCCATTGAAGTCTCTAAACTGCTATTAAAGGAGCATGAAACCAGACCAACTGATGTGAACTTATGGGTTCGGCTACTTAAACACTTTCTACAAAACAACCTGATTAAAAAGGCATACAAACATGCATCTGCGGTCGAGAAAAAAAATTTGTCCATTTTTCATAACGACTTAACTTGGTACGAGACATTTGACGAAGTTCTCGTGAGGTTTGAAAGTGACCTTACATATAGTTCTCAGCTCACTTGGGAGTTTTGGTTCCTATCCGTATCTGTGCTGGATAGATTGGTAGCCCTGAGTTTGGATGAGCACTTAGATACTGTAAAAACTAGTACCGAATATGTAACTGCAGTCTTCAATTTCGATCAAATGCTGTCTAAAGCCTCGCAGAATATTCAGACATGTCCAGATCGCCAATTAGTAACAGTATTTTTGAGCCATTATCACGCTCCGTTATATTTCTATCTAGCCACGCTCATTTTTAAACAAGCTAAAAAGGATCTAATTCAGTTCAAAGAGGCTTCCAATGTAACCCTTCCCGTTTTGTTAGCGGCTTACCATTCCTGCCCCCCCGACTTGCAGAGTATGTGGCTGATACAATCTCCAGAAAATAGGAGACGCCTTGTACAACACTGGCACAAAGAAGCCTCTTATCGTTGCTCACAAACGGGACACATCCTTCTAGCTGCTGCTAAGGATAGAAAGACTATCGTATTAGAAAAGGCAACACAGTATTCAACGGTAATGTGGCGGGAACAACTCTACAAGAAGGTGTTTGTGAAAAAAGATCAACAACTCAAAATATCGACAAGTTTTTTCGTTTTAAGCTTTCAAGTCTTAGAGCCAGTTATAAAATTGCCTGATCCTCTAGATTTAGTAAATTCGATGAAGTTGCTCAGCTAGTATATCCTGACTCTCTACACCATTACATTTGGCTTGGTTTAAACAGTGAGTTAAGCGATATAGAGGTAAAATCTTTCGAAGGCCTGCAGTATTCTATAGAAAATTTGAACAATTGTGCTGCTGAGGCATTAAACGTTCTGGATATTCAAGCATTTCTTTATTGCGCTGTTCTCTGTGCCAAGTCTAAGATGGACGATACTAAAAACTTCAATTATGACAACCACGATAGATCTACAGTTTTACCGGCCTGTGTAACGGAAGATTTAGGCATTTTAAACCAGTCGAGGTTTATATCGATCGCTTATGAGATGTACAAAAATGAACAAGAAGTTAATGCGGCAGGCATTCCTTTGTTCCTAATTAAAGGCATCAAAGTGGTTAGGTGTGTAGATCGTCACGGCTTGGATGTCGGATTATTGGTCGCTTTAGCGAAGATTGATTCAGACAGTACTGCAAACCGCAAGGAATGTGATAGAATGCTCGATGAGAACATGTCCAGTAGTAACCATTCGTCCAGGTCTATCTTTTCCAGACAAGACGCTGATAGTAGTGCTGGAACAGTAAATGTTGATGTAAACCAAACATTCAAAGAATATATTATGAATCTTATCAAGAAAGAGATTAAAAATTTTTCGGAGGTATGATATCTGTAGCCTTCTAATTAATTTTTTTAGTTGTTTTAGTTGTTTTTAGTTCTTCGGTTACTGGGATAAATAAAAATCTTATACTGTATTGATTTATATAAAACATCAAATGGCATAAATAATTTTTTTTTATTATCCTTTTAACTGCGGAATTTGTCAATTTGATTTATTTTTTTTATACAGGACGTGAAGAAAGAAATCAATGAGTTAAAAAGTGGATTGAGGATTAAGGCTTGAAGAAAATTTAAGGAAATATGGTGCTTTTAAGAAACCGAAGCAAGAAGAATGCCAATTTAATGCAAACATCGAGCTCAATGTTCTTCTTAACGTTGAAGAAAATCCAAAAATTTCCATTCGGGAAATTTCTAATAATATTGGAGCATCAAAGAAAACTGTATATACAGTATTGAAAAAACATAAATTCAAGCCATACATTTCATTATTAGAAATTTCCCGTATGGAAGTTTTTGGATTTTCTTCAACGTTAAGAAGAACATTGAGCTCGATGTTTGCATTAAATTGGTGTTCTTCTTGCTTCGGTTTCTTAAAAGCACCATATTTCCTTAAATTTTCTTCAACCCTTACAAATTTACGTGGTTCTGGAACTTCTCTCTGAGGAAATAGTTCTCTGTAAAGGTGGACCGTGGCACCACGATTTTTATTACACTGAAAATATGCCTGGATCATATACGCCAACTGATTATTGCTTATATTTTGCACTGTTGAGCTTATTTCAATAAATAATCTACTGTAACTGCCATACAAAGATATACAATGCGTGAAAAACTGAGACGTGAACGCTAAAATGACGTTTATTTCCCTTGTAATATTTTTTGTTTTCAATGCACACATGATTAGTCAAAATACGTTTGTTGTTAATTAACCGACCGGGCGCTCATAATGCGATATTGACTAATATTTTCATGTTTTTTCTGTAATACATATTTCACAAAAGTAGACTTTATATACATCATTGAATTCAGAATAGAATTCTGCACAATAATAAATAAAAAAAAAACCTATATTGCCAATTGAAAAAAAAAAAAGTTGACTATCGTTTTCAAAAAAAAATAATAATAATAAATACGCCCCAATAGGCTCATTCTATAGTGTATTCAGAGCCATTTCATATAATTTTTTGTTTTTTAAAATCAGACTATAAATGACGGAGTTATGGCTTGCGGCGTTTTTTAGGAGACAGCCTGTATATGCTGTGGAATTACCGCAATATTTTTATGATCATAATATTGAATTTCAAATGCTATTTTATTTCTTTAGAAATTTAGCCAGAAATTGATTTTTAAGCTCAAGTAAACGTAGTAGTAATTTTTTTTAATAGAATTCGTACTAATAGTCCACAGTACAGGCCCCCTCTGGAAAGTTGATTACCACATACTTTATAACTCCTGAGGAGCTTTATTTTGACGAGTCTACCGCATTTTTCCTCTGCGACTTTTCTCGATTCCTCCGCTTTTCCACTCGGAAAAGTCCAAAAACATGGCAATTTCTCGGGGTCTTGAAAACTCAAGACCACATCTTTTATTTTTAGCTTAAGTAACTGGAAATTTTGTTGCAAATGCCGATTTAAATTTGTCCGACAGAAATTCCTCCGACATTGACGTGTCTACCGGTCGAAACATGCCAAAATAACAGGGTATTGAAAATCAATTACCACATAGGTAATTTTTAGTAAAATTAATTGTAAATAATTAATTCAGTCAAAAAGTATTGTTGTCCGACAAATTTCAAGCCGCGTTTTTTCAGTCCGACAGCTGGAAATCGGAATTTTCACGGGGTATGAAAAATCGATTACCACATATCTAATTTTCATTTTTTCCACTTTTAAATTTACTGTACAAAATAGTGATATAAGTGTCCGACGATTTAATGTCCGCAAATTATTAAAAAATCAATAAATCAATAAACGTGATGAAATTTAATTTTTTCACTCCAAAAATTTCATATTTATAAATGGTTATTAATTATTATTATGTAAATTATTATTTGTTTCAAATAAATAATTATAATATTGCTTATTTTATGCTTAAAAATTTAAAAGTTATAAACAAATGAAGTTATTTTTGAGGCGATTAATACGATCTTAGTGCATAATGCATTATTTCTAAATAAATTAATATTATACTTGATATAAAAATCCTTTTTTCTCTTTCAAGTTTTCATTCGCGTTTGTTATTTTTCTTTACAAAAATTTTCCTATTTTTCTAAAAGAAAATCCCAAAACTTTTGTGCATAATTTTTTTACACCATACATACTTTTTTGAAATCGTTTAATTCTTTTCTCGATATTTATTTGGCTAAATTGAGCATATAGAGATTTACAATTACAAGAATAAAACGAAAAATATATACAGGGTGTTTCAGAAAGACCTCCCGTAAATAAAGAGGGTGATAGTATGATAAAAAATGAGAATTTTTTGTCTTATGAACTCTATGTCTATCTCCTCTTGTTTTCGAGATACAGAGAGACAAAATAAAATTTTTTAAATAACATTTTCATGAAAATTTCCAAATAGTGCGAAATATTTTTAAGAAATTTGGTAGTCCGAGGTTTTTAAGGGTGCTAAATATACTAGTCTAATTAATTTTTGTATATTTCATAGAAAGCGCTAGTTATGCTACATTCTTATTACAATTTAAGTTATATTTTTTCAAGGTTAGGTTTTTTACCAGTCGGGCTCAAATTTCTTTTGTACAATTTTATTTTCTAAAAATAATGTACTCTTGTTAGAACTTCCTAATGTGGACAATTTTCGAGAGAAAAGGGTTTTAATTAAACTCTTACAATATTACACTATAAAATTAGTGACTTTTCTCAAAGTAAGCTTGAGCTTTGAGAAGAGGAGATAGACATATAGTTCATATGACAAATAAATCTTATTTTTTGTCGTCCTCACCCCCTGTATTTACAGGAGGTCTTCCTGAAACACCCTGTATTGTAAATTTATATGGAATTTTGCTTAGTACATGAAAATGCCTTATTAGAAATTATAAATACGTGCACATTTTTTATGAAATTTTTTTCATCTTTTTTTGTCGAACTGACGATTTGCGGATATATATTTTTGTCGGACATTACAATTTTTGCTTATAAAAAACACTTTTCTATCGTATGTTATTTTTGTCCGACATGTGGTAATTGATTTTTCATACCCCGTGAAAATTCCGATTTCCAGCTGTCGGACTGAAAAAACGTGGCTTGAAATTTGTCGGACAACAATACTTTTTGACTGAATTAATTATTTACAATTAATTTTACTAAAAATTACCTATGTGGTAATTGATTTTCAATACCCTGTTATTTTGGCATGTTTCGACCGGTAGACACGTCAATGTCGGAGGAATTTCTGTCGGACAAATTTAAATCGGCATTTGCAACAAAATTTCCAGTTACTTAAGCTAAAAATAAAAGATGTGGTCTTGAGTTTTCAAGACCCCGGGAAATTGCCATGTTTTTGGACTTTTCCGAGTGGAAAAGCGGAGGAATCGAGAAAAGTCGCAGAGGAAAAATGTGGTAGACTCGTCAAAACGAAGCTCCTCAGGAGTAATAAATTATGTGGTAATCAACTTTCCAGGGGGGGCCTGTACTGTGGACTATAACTTTCGTTCATAATTTAACAGAACCAGTAAATTCAAGAGCTGATGGAACATCAAAAAATAAGAATATTTTTTTCCTAAACACTGTGGGTCTGTCATTTTTTTTTTTTTTAGATATAGTGTATCAAATCTTAATGGTTTAACTAATCTTAATGGTTTAACAGGTTTAACTTATGCTCATGGAGGACTAGGTTTACCACAACGAGGTATTTTTTTATGATTATAATATTGAATTTCAAATGCTACTTTATTTCTTTACTAATTTTCGTTCATAATTTATTTTTAACGCTCTATACCTCAAAAATAAAAGACGCTAGAATTTATGGTACTTTTTTCCCAAAACATCCTGTATATCAAATGCATAAATTACTAAATTTCTTACAGGTGCACTTCCATTTGTGCCCAACCAACAGCTACCGTCGACTTCTGCTTCCGTCGCTGCTAGCTACGCCCAACCAATTTTAGGTCAACCATCTCTCACTTAGGGCTTACCATCTACAAGTAAAGGTAAGTCCATCGAATGTAATTCAGTAAAAACTAGTAATTCTTGAAAAATCATGAAATTACATACTGTGTTTATAGTCCAATTAAGTGAGTCTTTAAATCGCAATTTGGTCAATTTGTCTGAATTTTTGATGTAAGTTAGTTTGAGGTATGTTATAACAATAAGTGACAGTAATTTTTTGTTCAACCCCCGGCCAAGGGTGAAAAAAGATAAAGCAAAGGGTATTTTCAAGATAAATCAAAACGGGTAAGAGCTAGAAAAAAAAGTTTCTTATAAATGTTGTAGAGCAAAAATTTCTACATAAAAATGGTATATTGACTTTTTCTTGTACTATTAAAATTAATAACAGAGTTAGGGAGGCTAGAAGTTATGGGATGATTTCAGAAATTTAAAAAATCATAAGCAGAAAAATGAATTAATTTTATTATTTTTTTTTATCTTAATTTTTAATAAAAAAGTTAAAACAGTTAAAATTTTTTAATCGTTAATTTTTATTATTTAACACAAAATTTTTTTCTATGCCATTCGACCGATTATTTAAAATAAAAAAGTTGCTTTCGAAATTTTGTTTTATGACAAAGATAAAAAATCACGTTCGCTTTGTGAAATTGTTATAACTTTTTTATTGAAAATTAAAAAA